CTTTTTCTAGGGGAAGCCCTTTGTGGGTTCCTGAAGCTACTATATACTAATATGGTGCCATCTACTAAGTCGCATCAGCAGCAGAGTTCTATAGGCTTACCGGAGACCAGCGCCAAAACCTGGTCCCCTCAGAGAGGCACAGGAAGCAGTGACATTCATTTTCACCACTGTAAGGGCACGTGCTTGAAAGCCATACTCTAGAGTAGGAACTCACGAAATCCGTCGTTACTTCCTTACTTAAGGTATAGATATGCCACTTTAAAGCAGGGATGTAGAACCAATATGCATTCGTAAATACTTCAACCACATGAGTACCCACATTGGGACGGTACCATATTTTTGAATTGGCGGGACTCAACACTTAAGGTGCGTGCATTACATTCATTAAAACACAGGAAATGGGACAATACACTAACAAGAAATAATTTCTCACTCACCTGATTAACCTAAATGTTCCAGCCACAGATTTAATTGAGGCCAATAACCTCACACAGTGAGGTGAGTACCTCACGAGCTCACACCACAGCCTGTGTGTGTGTGGAGTCTCATCCCTCTCTCCTTCATGGAGTCCAGGGATGCTCCTCTCACAAAAATGTGCAGGAAAATTTTACACACACAGAATCAAGCATATTTACTAATACATACTCTCAAACACAAATGAAATATAAAAATTAACACAAATAATACAAACTGGTATTTTAACTAAGAGAAACATTTACATTAATAACAAAAGCTAGACTTTACATGCCAGTCATTACGCAATACAACCAGGGAAAGCAACCAGAAGGTCAGAGTGTCAAAACAAACCACTGTAGCAATTATATTAAGGAGTGATATAATTGCTCCAAATTCTCATTAGTTTCAGTGCAAGCAATTAAATGTGCCACTTAAGTTATCCCTGAGAATACTGCACTCCATTAAGTTCTACACTAATCCTGTATGAGCTAATTACAATTGATATATCTTCCCAAGTGTACAAGCATCGCTAGGTATGTTGGTGAGTTTGGTAAGTCAGAAGAAGGTTGTAATATAAGCTGTCGACAGTAAATCACCATCAGTCTGGGTCTAACTGGAATAGTGGTTCAGTACAAAAGCTCAAGAGATACTGCAGAGCTTCAACATTGTAGAGAGAACAACATACTTCTAACATCATGGGCATGAGGGTAGATCAGAGGCTGGTGTCACAGGGGAAGACAAAGGGCAGAGCCTTGTCGAGCCCCTACGGTAACACTCTGTCACTGCTCTCTTTACTGTTGGCTCTGTACTCATTTTCCTTCATGATGAAGTTGGCGCTTAACCCCTGTGTACACCAGTCCCAAAACACAGGGACCTTGCAGCACCTCTGGGAACTCACTAGGCTACCTTCTGTCCCCAGAGAGTGGGAGATAGAGCAGCATGTGTCAAAGGGTGGCAGGTGTCTATCTCGAACACTTGGTTATCCAGCTACTGTGATCATTGGGAGGTTCTTACATGCGCCAAGTACACAAGAAATGACTTCAATTTCTCTGCTGTAGTCCACTTGAAACATGATGCTACTTTCCTCCAATTTTATTAAATCTTTATTCCTGAACTCAAGTCAGTACCCTATTGTCAGGCTTTCACATATAAATGACGTTGCATAATCATAATAAAGGTACATGTAAACACAACATTTAAAACTAAAAGAATATTTACTAACAAAAAAACTACATAAATAAATAATTAATTGTCTCGGATAGCCTCAATTAAGTCTGCAGTCAATGGCCGCTCTCAACCTTCATTAATACTAATGTTAATCTATTCACATGCATAGTCTCAATGTATCCTACCACATGAGTGTCACTTTAGATCCAACACCACATCCTTGGCTGCTCCCTGGCATCACAAGTATCCTCTTCCTTCCTTGGGTGACACAGATGTGGCGCCGATCCTCTTGACACACTGCGGGACACACTCTGTGCTGTACATATAGCAAAGATTTTTTTGGAGGTCTAACAGGGTCTTGGCCACCAGGTGTCTGGTGAATATCCCTTACCCTCTGCAGCCTTGTGTGGCTTTGGGGTGTCTGTCGCAGCCGAATGTCTCTTCCTCGGATTGATATCTAGTGTTGCCACCTTCCTCGTAAGTCCCTGTATTACCTTCTCTGTGGGTAGTTAGCTTCAGGGAGCTGATGAAGCTCCCCCACAGAAAACCAGCATTGAATGTAATGAAACGGCAGTTTCTGTGTGAGCCCAGTAGGTTCCATCACTCCCTCCGAATGATGGCTTTTATCCTTTTATCATTCAAGAACTGGCTGGTGGGCGACCCAGCTCAATGGGCTATCTCCCACTCCCCCCAGTGGGCCCCCTCCCCCCCAGTGAGCCCCCCCTCCCCCCACTGAGGGGAGGGTTGGCACTAACAAGCGGGGGGATAGTTGGACGAGGTTTTGCTTGTTTGTTCTCTTTGTGTGGAAGTTCTTTTGATATTTTGAGAGCGTAAGTCGCATTTTTTAACCAGGCAGTAGTCTGTTTTGATTTGCCTACCTTTCTGGGTACCTTCCCTGGTCAATGGCAAGATGATAAACTTTAAAAGTAATGTGTTTATGAGCCATTGCTCCCTACACCTCGACTGACAAACACAAATGAAATATAAAAATTAACGCAAATAATACAAACTAGTATTTTAACTAAGAGAAACATTTACATCAATAACAAAAGCTAGACTTTACATGCCAGTCATTACACAATACAACCAGGGAAAGCAACCAGGAGGTCAGAGTAGCAATTATATTAAGGAGTAATATAATTGCTCCAAATTCTCATTAGTTTCAGTGCAAGCAATTAAATGTGCCACTTAAGTTATCCCTGAGAATACTGCACTCCATTAAGTTCTACACTAATCCTGTATGAGCTAATTACTATTATATATCTTCCCAAGTGTACAAGCATCGCTAGGTATGTTGGTGAGTTTGGTAAGTTAGAAGAAGGTTGTAATATAAGCTGTCGACAGTAAATCTCCATCAGTCTGGGTCTAACTGGAATAGTGGTTCAGTACAAAAGCTCAAGAGATACTGCAGAGCTTCAACAGTGTAGAGAGAACAGCATACTTCTAACATCATGGGCATGAGGGTAGATCACAGGCTGGTGTCACAGGGGAAGACAAAGGGCAGAGCCTTGTCGAGCTCTAACGGTAACACTCTGTCACTGCTCTCTTTACTGTTGGCTCTGTACTCATTTTCCTTCATGATGAAGTTGGCGCTTAACCCCTGTGTACACCAGTCCCAAAACACAGGGACCTTGCAGCACCTCTGGGAACTCACTAGGCTACCTTCTATCCCCAGAGAGTGGGAGATAGAGCAGCATGTGTCAAAGGGTGGCAGGTGTCTATCTCGAACTCTTTTTTATCCAGCTATTGTGATTATGGGGGTTCTCACATGCACCCAGTACACAAGAAATGACTTCAATTTCTCTACTCTAGTCCACTTGAAACATGATGCTACGTTCCTCCAATTTTATTAAATCTTTATTCCTGAACTCAAGTCAGTACCCTATTGTCAGGCTTTCACATATAAATGACATGGCGTAATCGTAATAAAGGTACATGTAAACACAACGTTTAAAACTAAAAGAATATTTACTAACAAAAAAACTACATAAATAAATAATTAATTGTCTTGGATAGCCTCAATTAAGTCTGCAGTCAATGGCCGCTCTCAACCTTCATTAATACTAATGTTAATCTATTCACATGCATAGTCTCAATGTCTCCTACCACATGAGTGTCACTTTAGATCCAACACCACATCCTTGGCTGCTCCCTGGCATCACAAGTATCCTCTTCCTTCCTTGGGTGACACAGATGTGGCGCCGATCCTCTTGACACACTGCGGGATACACCCTGCGGGACACACTCTGTGCTGTACATTTTGCAAAGATTTTTTTGGAGGTCTAACAGGGTCTTGGCCACCAGGTGTCTGGTGAATATCCCTTGCCCTCTGCAGCCTTGTGTGGCTTTGGGGTGTCTGTCGCGGCCGAATGTCTCTTCCTCGGATTGATATCTAGTGTTGCCACCTTCCTCGTAAGTCCCTGTATTTCCTTCTCTGTGGATAGTTAGCTTCAGGGAGCTGATGAAGCTCCCCCACAGAAAACCAGCATTGAATGTAATGAAACGGCAGTTTCTGTGTGAGCCCAGTAGGTTCCATCACTCCCTCCGAATGATGGCTTTTATCATTCAAGAACTGGCTGGTGGGCGGCCCAGCTCAATGGGCTGTCTCCCACTCCCCCCAGTGGGCCCCCTCCCCCCCAGTGAGCCCCCCCTCCCCTCACTGAGGGGAGGGTTGGCACTAACAAGCGGGGGGTTAGTTGGACGAGGTTTTGCTTGTTTGTTCTCTTTGTGTGGAAGTTCTTTTGATATTTTGAGAGCGTAAGTCGCATTTTTTAACCAGGCAGTATAGTCTGTTTTGATTTGCCTATGTTTCTGGGTACCTTCCCTGGTCAATGGCAAGATGATAAACTTTAAAAGTAATGTGTTCATGAGCCATTGCTCCCTACACCTCTCTGAGGGAGCCAGGTTCTGGCTCTGGTCTCTGGTAGGCATACAAGAACTCTGTGACTGATGACTCCAAGTAATGTGGCACTTAAACAGTATGCTAGTTTCAGGGAGCTAACATAAATAATCCTTGTATACAATTTGATATTTTATATATTCTATCTATTTGTTCCACTAACAATTAACTTTTACATTTTACAATTTACAATTTACAATTTTTTACAATTTACAATTTACAATTTTTTACAATTTACAATTTACAATTTTTTACAATTTACAATTTACAATTTTTTACAATTTACAATTTACAATTTTTTACAATTTACTTTTAACAATTTACTTTATTTACACTTTAACAAGCACTGAGAGGTGGCTGTATCCTACTTGCAAGGAGCAGTTGTAACACTATAAAATACAATGTTTGAAAAGAGTAATATTAAGAATAACTCTATATTTAAAGTTTAAACAGTTTTACAGTAATCAGGATATCATACCATAAAAGCAATTACTTCTGGAGGATCAATGTGTGCCTTCATCTTCTTCCAGTTAAATGATGCTCTGGCCCGGTACTGGCTAAGCGGGCCCTCGGGTAAATCTGGGATGAGTTCATTCAAATCTGTCCCTTCTTCAGCACCTGCTGAATACATCACTGATCCCTCCATTATGACCAAGTTACCTGAAATAAAATTTTAGAACATTGTAATTGTAAGTAAATCTGGCAATGTTCAATGGTACAGCACAGTGCCAAGTTAGGGTTGAACTCTCACTGACTCCTACTATTAAAATTCATAAGACTTTAATCTCTGGGCAGCGCTGCTGCTAATAGCCAACAACACTGCTGTAAGAAAAAAACCCTCTAAGATTATTAAAATATGTTCTCTGATCACAGGAAAAATAATAAAACAATCATAGATAACATATTTTGGCCGCAATAAGGTGAGGAAATCTGGCAAAATTGAGGCGCTGACAGAGTAGACGTCTTGGTCGGTCTCCTCCACCCGAGCTGTGAGGCAGGAGTTGCCACAAAGATATTTGTAATTATTTCAATGTCTTTGAATTTTTTTCTGTTTTTTGCAGTAATATTATTCAATAGCGTGTAGTGTGATATATTTGTATAATAAAACAAGTGAACCATCGCTATACTCAAAAGTATGGTGTGCATTTTAGTCATTCAATTACTATATTCATAAAATATAAAGCAAATATTTTTTCTGTTATTATACTATATGCACATGTTATATATAAATATCTACATGTTTTGTTCACCATAGGGAACCACTAAGCTGGTATGGTGCATCTAAATAGCATAGTGGCCACCAACACCAGTCAGGTGACACTGCTACGTTCCTCCCTCACCAACATTCCTCCTACCACCATACTGTTTGTACTGTTATTGCACTATACACATACATTATATTTATAAGTATGTACATGTTTTGTTCAACATAACTGTACAACTAAGCTGGTATGGTGATCAAAAAGCATAGCCGCCACCATACACTGCATGACAAGTCATACGGCAGCTAGCGGATGATGACACCTCACTCACCAAAATGGCTCCTCCCAGCACACTGTTTGTGCTGTTATTACACTATATGCACACACGTAATATATAAGTATCTACATTTGTGTTCACCATAACAAACTACTAAGCTGGTATGGTGAATCCAGACAATAACAGTGGCTGCCACACAGTCAGCTGATGATGCCACCTCCCTCCCTCATCTACTCACTGGGGAGTAGAAGAATTCCCAGAACCGAAATTATACCTGGAGTCTCTCCAGGTTTGCTCCAGGTAAAACTCCTCCTCCCACCATACCTGGTTGATACCTCATTGATGGGGTTCTTGGAGTTCTTCTACTCCCCAAGCCCAGTCCAAGGCCAGGCTTGACATGTGAGAGTTTGGTCCACCAGGCAGTTGCTTGGAGCGGCCCCATAGGCCCACATACCCACCACAGCCTGGTTGGTCCGGCACTCCTTGGAGGAAACAATCTAGTTTCCTCTTGAAGATGTCCACTGTTGTTCCGGCAATATTTCTTATGCTCGCTGGGAGGGTGTTGAACAACCGTGGACCTCTGATGTTTATACAGTGTTCTCTATTTGTGCATATGGCACCTCTGCTCTTCACTGGTTCTATTCTGCATTTTTGTCCGTATAGTTCACTCCAGTACATTGTTATTTTACTGTGTAGATTTGGGACCTGGCCCTCCAGTATTTTCCATGTGTATATTATTTGGTATCTCTCTCGCCTCCTTTCTAGTGAGTACATTTGAAGGGCTTCAAGACGATCCTCATGACAAGTTTTCGATGATCTCGAAGATCACACGAAGATAACACACACACCATACTATCCACATCGATAATTCTCACCACAATGCTGCTATTATCAGAATCCTGGTCATTAAATCGTGTAAATTAATCATTTTCCACGACTTTATTTTGTAAAGGATCATGAGAAGTATTTTCAAGATTCGTAGATGAACCAAACAATAGCAGTTTACTGTGGCTAGCGCTGTGAGCATCTTGAACAGCATTGTGTTCACTGATATCTGAACATTGTACACAATCTTTATCACAGTCAGGCTCTTCTGTAATACTGTCATAGCTAAATAATAGCAGTTACATATATATTTTGACATTTTTAGAAGATGCTGTGGTCACAAGCTGAACAGCAGTGCTGTTAGCTCATGCTGTGTATCCCAGCCTTGGTTGCTTACTCAGTACTGAGGCCCTCACACCTGGGAATTGTGCCCCACGATTTTTTTTTTTTTTTATAAATGGGGTCTGTTTACTAGAGCTCTGAGGAAGCTGATGTGAACCCCGTATAGTTGCAGGAATTTTAAATATATATATATAATTCTTGAAGTATCTGATCCAAGTATTTTAACCCCTGTACTGCACTGCATTATAATATGACAAATTTGTGGTGTGCCAAAAATAAGTTACTGTACAGTGGTACCTCAGTTTTCATATTTAATCTGTTGCCAGAGACGGCATGAAAACTGAAAAAAAAGAAAACCAACACGCATTTCCTCCCCCCCCCCCCCAAATATATTAACAAATATATTTTTTCCATTCCACACTCCCAAATATATTAACTAAAAAATACATTTTGTACAGAATAATACTCTTAGGCAGCTTACCTTTATTAATTTAAGGACCATTGTTGGCATGTGGAAAACAGTCAGGAAGGGGGGAAGGAGGAGGAGAGGTGTTGGTGATTGGAAGGGGAGTCCCTTTCCATTATTATAGCAGCAGTGATGACATTTCTGTGGTACTCTCTCTCTCTCTTACATTTTGCAGGCATCCCACTAGGACCTGGTTGTGGCTCACTGCTTGCTTGTCTTACTAAGAATCTGTCTAGACACTTGTCTTCCCTACGTTTTAACTCTTGTCTATAGTGAGACATCACATTATCTCACTATATATGTTTTTTTCTCTATCGTCAATCCTCAACTATTTTCTTCGTTTCAACATTACCTCTGACTTTCTTGGAACCCATGGCATGATATATAATAAGAATTTTTATGTTCAGAAACAAAAAAAACAGCGTTGAATGTAATGAAACGCCATTTTCTGGGTGAGTCCCGGAGGCTTCCCGGAGCTATCCAGGCTGATATGGATATCCCTAACTTTGGCATCAGTCGATATCGGTGGAGTTCTAGGCCTACTGGGGACCACGAGCCAGAACCTGGCCCCCTCAGAGAGGCACGGGGAGCAATGGCCCATAGAATGCACATGTGATTTTGGAGCATTTTATATCTGCCATTGACTGGGACAGGCACCTAGAGAGGTAAGCGCCACAAAACAAACCCCTATTCTGGTTAAAAACAACAAAAATAGACAGACGAGTGGACAGAACTCTCCAATTGAAAATGAGTGGACAGAACTCCCCAACTGAAAACGAGCAAACAAGCACGACGTCACACTAGACGAGCCGCACCGCATGTCTGTGCAGCTCCCCCACTCCCTGGGAGGGGGAAGGGGAGCCCCAGACCACTGTGCCGGCAATCCAACTTGCAGTTCCGAGGCTGGATATCAAAATATGCGAAAAAAACACCTACCGGAGGGAGAGAGGGTTGCTGGGGAGTCTCTGGGGGTTGCCGGGGAGTCTCCGGGACTCGCCCAGAAATTGGCGTTTCATTACATTCAACACTGGTTTTCTGGGGGAAGCCCTACGGCTCCCCGGAGCTACCTCACCAAAGACAAAATAAAGAAGGGGGACGTACCCGGGAGGCGGTCGGTGCTCCACCTCAACTCGAAGTTGATACAGGCTGCAGCCACAAACAAAGGCGAAAATAGAAACGAGAAAACACCAGCCAAAGACCAGGACGGCACAGGCGATGCACGAGCAGGCTGGAAGCAAACAACGCCCAAGCGACACAGGCCCGACTAGGCCCAGGAACGGTAACGAGGTAGCATGCAGCCAAGACCCTGCTCGACCGCTAAAAACCCCGTGCCCTAATGTAGGCCCAGGACATGTGGCCAAAGATGGCAGCAAGAGCAGCAAACTTACAAACGTCAAGGTTACAGGGAGAAACCGCAGGCTGGCTAGACTTAATAACCCAGCGATGACTGAAGAGACCTGTACTCGCGAACAGGGAAGAAGAGAAACCAGATCAACTCAAAGTGCGTTCAAGGACACACAAGCCGTGGTGCGCAAATAATGGTGGAGGGTTGCAACCAGACAATACAAGATGCACCCCTGGCTCAACCAACCAAGCATCAACAACACACGGACCCCTTCGGAAAGCAGCAGACTCATTCCTCGCCAGAAAAGAACGAGACGGCTGCAAACAAACAAGAAAGTTTTGGAAAAACAAACCTGAAACGAAGGGGCCACAACAAACAGAGGCGAAGACACAAATGAGAGCACAGAGGTCAAAGACCAGGACAGCGCAGGTGACACATGAGCAAGCCGGAGGCAAATAATGCCCAAGAAAGCCCGTGCAATGGTGCAGAAGGAATAGCAAAACCGAAAGCAAACCACAGCGGCTCTGCCAGCGTCGCATGAGACAAGGCAACAGTGTGCGTCAAGCCAACAGTCCCAAACCCCCACGAGAGAAGAACAAGACCACGTCAACAAAAACCGCAGGATACCTAAGACAAAGAAAAGGAAGGACCGCCAGCAAAACCCCATACCGCCGCCGAGGCGAAGCACACAGGTGGGACACCATATCAGCAAAGCCACCTGACCACCAAGATAGTGAGAGACTCGAGTCAAAAGCACCAGACTGGAAGACTCGAGGAGAAGATCGAACCATCCCCGATATGGACCCCGATATTTCCCCCATCCCCAGGGGAAAACCCCTGGGATCAGACACCGAGCAAGCAGTGACCAAAACCAAGGCTAGCAAGGAACCAGAAGGAATGTCCGCCAGGGTACCAGGAACCCAAACCCGGCGAGCCGGGAAAGAACCAACCCGGGTGAGCAGATACGTCTCGTCTGGGAGGAACCCCCCCGGGATCCCGAAAGGACCAACAAGGCCAAAAACGGATTACAACGAGAAGCCGCCGCTTGCCGAAAGAGACGAGCCGTAGACTCTGCAAACAGCAAGGACAAATTCAGCGACGAAAATCAAAGAGCTAGTACCCAGGCAAGCACCACGAGCCGACACGCGAAATGCGAAGCAAAAAACTGTTACACCTCAACATGCAGGAGCAGTGTAAACAGCACCA